GTCTATTCCTAATTTGAACGACCATACCATTACAACATAAGACAAGAAGTATACAAGCTGTTTTAAAAGTGCTTAATTTTATTTCTTAATCTTTATATTAAACTTTATTAAAAACAATATCTGTTTTTATGTATAGGTATAGTTAAGATGAAATATCTATCTATCAATATCTTTATGCCAATTTCCTTGACAGATAAGCAGATTTAATGAAAAGATATTTTAAGAATATGAAATATATAACTCATAAAATTGTTTTTTATGACTAATAGTTTGACTTACATAGTAGTTATTTGCTAGAATTTAAGTTCTTGTTTCTGTTTTCACAAAATACTTGTATTGTATTATTATAAACAATATAGGTAGGGGTTAGCAAGAGGCGGACTATGGAGTGTATATATTGCAGAATGTAGAGCATCAAAGATTGGAAACTATAGCTGCAGAAAATATCTTTTATCATCAAAACTTTTAAAATGTCAATACTGTATTAAATTAGAAGATTTTTTTTCAGTTTTTGGTCAGTCCATTAGCTATGTATATGAACTATGTAATTTAATAAGAATCGGTGACAATCGGTGACCTGATGACTAAAATTATTACCTTATGTAAGAAAGTAAAGGATAAGTTTTTTGGAAACTATAAAACATACGGGCATTTGTGAGCAAAAACTAGCTCTGTATTCTTTAGACTCTTAAAACAAGTTTTATGAAGAGACTCCTTCCTGATCAACTTGCCAACCAACATTTACCAAAAATGAATAAACAGATGACCACAATGTTAAGATAATTTTTAAAACTATTGCTAATCTTTACTGAATTAGCAGTGAAAGTACAAGTTCAGTTTACACAGGATATTTTAATGATGTTTTAAATTACATTAAATATTCTGACTTTAGGGGTTTTTAGGAGAGAGAAAAAGTGTTTTCAAGGCAGAAAATGAACATCCTCACAAGTTAATATGCTTTCAACACATAGAAAATAGATTATAAAAGTTTTGGACTTGATACATAGCTTAAAGGTGAATTACTTAAACAAATTACTTCATATGTGAAACAAAATTGTTTACAATTTTTTTTTTAATGAAATAAATTTGTTCATGGATAATAAAAATGAATATTGAATGAGGTAGTCTTGATAAATCATAGTATGACCTCACAACAGAACAATTAAAAATTTGTTGATACAAATTAGTTTTAATACAATGAAAGTTGATTTTTCAAATCATAAATTTACCAAAGCAAATATTCAGTATGATTATCCATACTATCTACAGTGTAATTTTACTACTATTGTTTAAAATAAATAAAAATGGTATTGCTTATATAAATAAGTATTTTTGCTTACATTGGAAAAAGATGGAGTTATTTCAGGATAAACTTATTACATGTATGAAAATTACTATTAAACATAACTTATCCTTAAAGACTCAAGAAATGTATAAATAATCAATTTAATCACAAAATGATCCTCAGAAAAATATGTTGTTTTGTATTTTTAACCTTTTACACATTAAAGAATATTTATAAATAATTTATTTGAAGTTATTGCGTTTTCTTTAGTACATTGGCACTACACAAGAACTCATATGTAAGAATATTACTGATAGAGTCACTCTGACTGGGATGGCAAAGAATAGAGTGCATTTTGGCACAGTATATGAAGAAAAATATTTTCTTAATTAAACACACTATTCTTTAAATGGAATTGATTAAGGGCTATTCTACCAAAACAAGAATGAATCAGGGATACTCTGTAAAAAAATATGCATGGTCATACTTGTAGGTAAAATACAACTTGAGAATCTCATGTTTTCATTGGTTGAAATATACATCTTAATTATTATATCCAGATGATTTTAATTACACATACAAATCTAGAGTTAGGAATGCAATTTATTATGATATCTATCTGCAGCTTATAAAAAATGCGAGATGTTTTAGAACAGCTGTTTCACTGTACCTTATAAAAATAAGTTTTCATCTGACAAATCAATACCCATATTGCGCAAAATGTCAATGAAATGCGCTACTTTAGAACTTTGAAAAATACAGAACGTGGAAAAATAATTTGAATTTGCATGCCAATCAACTCAAGGAGAACAATGTTCAACGACTTGAAAATATTATGGTAGATCTGAAAATACATTCACGTTAACGCAATGTGGGAAATTTTATGCATTATGTCTTTTTAGAACAACTACTTTAATTAATATCCATAAAAGAAAAAAGTAAGTGAAAAGTTCCAGTACGGTTATTACAAAATCTAAGAAAATGTCGATAGAGCCACATTCTAAGATCGAGGCGACATAGAGACCCGGATTACTTACTTGATTGTGTTCGAGAAGGTAGTGGTATTCTGTGTCCGCCTTTTCTTCGCGATCTACGGACGTAAGAACGCGAAGAGGAAAACGAGGCACTAGGCATTATTTCTTCAGACACTTATTTTCACTAGAATTCAGCCCTAAACAAAGGAGACACCCGCACTAAAACCGTCGGCCATTTTCTGTTTAGATTAGATTGAAGAAATGAAACGGGAAACCGTTACTATACCACATTAGCAGCTTTACGGTATTAGTTAGAATGTTCTACTAATATTTCACTAATCACTGACACTAAAATTACGATTGTTAACTCATATGAATCATTTTTCTAATCTTGAAATCATATATTCACGCTACCCTCGAGCAATGGGCGACTCTTCAGCAAAATATGGCGGATATTTTGGATTAACATGGCGGCTGCCACTGCAGCGCCATCTAGGATTGACCGAAACTTGAAAAATGATTTATTACTCGAGTTTTTATTTCTTTTCTTCTAATATATTTCATATGTAGACAAATAATAAAGAAAGAAAAAGGTTAATTTATTTCATTATGTCACATATAATTACTTTTAAAGCTCTACAAATTAAACGCTCGATATTTTTAAAATAAATTTTTAAAGTTCCGATCAATTGAATTGCATGAATATATCATTGCAATTCAATTAATTCTTTATGCATAAACATTTATGTACTATTTTCCTTTACCACATATTTTTTGTTACACTAAACCATAACTAAGTTATCTTTTTTATTAAAGAAAGCAACGGGATCGATCTAATACAACCATATCAATGGTTCTAGCGCGTTATTACCATAGATTTATTATACCAGAACAAAGAAGACAAGGAATCTGTTTTTGAACTCGATTGCGTGCTGATTGTTTTAGTCAATTAAATTAATGCACATCTCATTGTAGAAAAATTGAAATAGGTGAGAAATCGATTTGACAACATCTGAGCCGAGCGGCACCCTCGCCAGTTTCAAGGTGTCGCCATTTCTGTGACCCCTTTTCGATTTCCGGTTGGGTCAATATAGAAAAAAATAGCTTTTCTACATTGTTTCAAGTCTGAATGTTGAAGTATGGTCAATGTCTTAAGTCAATGTCTTAAAGTGGGAGAGCCACGCTTCGGCATAAATGGGCCGGCTCAACCGGAGTGATACCACGGCCTCACAGAAAACCGACGTGAAGCAACGCTTGCGTTGTGTTTCGTCGTGTGAGTGAGGGTACCGGAGACCCAACCCCTCCCTATTCCCTTCCCTCTACCCTTCAACCCTTCCTTCTAAGGCCGGCAGCGCGCTTGTAGCCTCTCTGGTGTTGCAGGTGTCCATGGACGACGGTAATCACTTACCATCAGGTGATCCGTCTGCTCGTCTGCCCCCTATCCCATAAAAAAAATACTATTTAATATCGGGGGTTTGAGATACTCATCTTGAAATCTGAGCAAAGTATGTGATGTTTGCTAAACATTTATTACTTCAGAGTTAAAAAGATTTTTTGATAATTTTGATATATAACAAAGTAGATTTGGTTTATACGTAAAAGTCAGAATAAATTAAATGATGATGTTACTCAATTACAAATTAGTCAAGTTAGAGGACAATAAAAAAATAATATGGTTAATAACAGTGATCACGGCTCCGGGCTATAAATGGACAGACTGGGCATTTGCCCAGAGCGCCAAATTTTTGGGAGCGCAAAATAAAAGAGATAATAAAAATAAACGAGAGAAACAAAATGCCTTAAAAATATAATTTTAAGTTGTAATCTTTGCTGGAAGTGTGAATTATGTAGAAATAAATGTCTAGAGTTTTGTGTATGAAAGACGTGTTTTCCTGTTATTTCCTTGATAAAATATAAGTAACATAGATTATTTGCTTTTACATTATAGTAATAAAGGGGGCGCCAGTAGACCATTTGCCCAGGGCGCCAGTCACCTAAGCCCGGGGCCTGAGTGATCAGCATTTCATATGTGATTCTACTTCGAAATTCGATATTTCTTATCAAAATGGAGTTTCTATTTACTATATAACATTAATTTCAAAAAAAGGTAATATCGCAGTTGTAGGTTTTACAGTAGATTTCTCATTTTTTAGCTATAGTTGAACAAAGTATCAGCAATTGTTACGGTACGTTCTTGATTTCTCCATGACAACCTTTCCGATTTTCTTTCATGTTTAAAATTAAATTGGTTTTAAAAACTCAATATACACCTCATATTCTATTTGTACATTCTTGGTTTTGGTTTTCAAAACTCACCTCATATACACCTCATATTCTATTTCTATTTTCAAAATCAACATTACCTTTAAAGTCTTTCCATGACAACATAGAGAAATCAAGGACGTACCGTGGCGATATCTAGTTAGCTTTCGGGAACTAATGTTCTTTTCTTGATGTCGATGTTTCTTTGATAATGATATCTTTGGGCATCGAGTTTTTATATATCGTTTTATGCGTTTTGAAGGGAATTCCGATATATAATCAACCCTGTGGCATTGACAGCTACAGAGAAGTGAGTGACAGCTGTTTTGATTCTTTTTGGGTTTTTTTTTTACTAAGGACAAGGCTGCATGGTCTTCAGATCTTTGCCTCAAAAAAAAAAAATCTCTATGGTTTTTCTGTTTGGATTTTTTTTATTCAATGAAAATAAATTACAAGTGATTGTTTGATTTGATATAAAAATGTCTGTGATAGAGGATTCAGAGAAACATAGCTGTTGTTCTTCAGTATTTGCTTGTGTGTTTCTAACTTTTTGTTATGTCGCGAGCTTGTATGTATGGGGATCTAAATTAAATAGGTATAAGTTTCTATATTTTTAATAATTTTGGCGATTCAGTTGTAGTAACAACATATTTATCACATACTTTCTTTCAGAGATCATCCTTCAGTAATCAAAAGAAGATTCTTCAGTGTTACCTGCATAATGCTATTAGCGCCATTCTACACCAACTATTTCTTATATGAGGAAACTTTATCCAGAGGAGATCTTTTAGAACAATTAGGAATACGTACTTCGGGCTTATTTGCAGCGTCTATTGTTCCATTATTTTTAACAGTCATTTTGTTTTTGGGACCATTGACCATGCATTTTCTATCTGGCACTTGGAAGCTATATGCAGGTACCTGTCTCTAGTTTACATTTATTGACAAATACAACTTTATATGTTAATATTAACTTAAATTGTGTGTTTTATAAAACTTTCATGCTGTTATAATGCTTGTAGAACCTTTATATTGGATATCGAGTTGGCAAGATTTAATGTGGGTGCGCAATCACTTCATGGCCCCCCTAAGTGAGGAATGGGTATTCCGAGCATGCATGATACCTCTGTTACTACAATGTCTGAAGCCAATGAGTGCTGTATTCATGGGACCTTTACTCTTCGGTATAGGTGGGTAATAATAATTATTAAAGGTAACCAGCTAGAGCTGTGAAAAAGAAGAAAATAATTGAAACGAAAAACATAATTCTAATCATTTAATTGTATGTCTTTGAAAGTTATTACTTATAACCTAAAGTTTTTGTAAAGTAAGTACTAATATTATAAAGAAATTTGTTTGTATAATTATATGAAATAGGCTCTGAAATTATTGGACTGAATTAAAAAAATAATTCGTCTATGGGAAGCTACATTAGATGTGGTGTAATATTGTACTCTCAAAATCTGCTGTGGAAGGTTGAATATATTTAACAAGACTCTTGTTTATCAATATATGTATATAATTTGATTATCATAACTTTGATTTAGATGATCTTGATCTATTTGTAAAACTTAGTTTACCCACCATCCAACACCCATCCCTTAAAGATCTCTCTAGAAATAATTAGCTTTTTTTTACCCCAACATAATAGGTGCTTTACCCCTGCTGGCTAAGTACCCAAAGGTTAGAAACCAATGATTTTGGAGAAATATATTGTAGCTGGAGTAGCTCAGTGGCTTAGTGGATAAGCGCAATGGTCCATGATCGTTGTCGAGACTGTCACAAGGGTAGGTCATGGGATGAGTGACCAAAAATTTCTATCTCGAGCTACTCTGTGCTTCAGAAGACACATTAAGCCGTTGATCTTGGCCCTGTTTGCAGTCGTTAATACCCTCCAATCCACTTGGTCCAGTGTGGAGGTCATGGCCCTCCTCCTGGAAAACCTGAGCCCCTGCATTGGGGACCTAAAGGGATTGATAATGGTGATGATTTTGAATAATATACAGCAATAATTCTTTTTTTTTGCAGCACATTTCCATCATATGTTTGAAAGAATGAAAACTGGTTTTAATTTACAAACAGCACTCATGATTTCATGTAAGTACTCATGTACATATTTCATTGAAACCTAATGATTATTTCCTTGAAACATATCAAAGTAAAAAGGTATACTGTAAATGTTGATAATATTGACTATGTGGAGGTTTTTTGATTTCTTATATTTTCATTTGCACTATCCATAATTTTCATAGAGTTTGTATTTAGTTTTATTGACGTTTCGAACCCTTCGGAAGGTCTCACAGATAAGATTGGAAGGATTTTGAAGCAAGCTTCTATCAATACTTATTTAAGCCGCCAAGGCGCAGTGTACTATCCCCTCTCAAGTTGCAGGTGTATACAAACTAGAATGCAGCTGTGGGCTCTCATATATCAGGCAGACAAAAAGGAGCATAGGAATTTGCGTTAGGGAACATGTAGCTGACGTTAAGCATAGGCGCGAAAATAAATCTGCAGTGTGAACATGCATTAGGAGGACCCAAGCATTTCAGCATTCCAATTTACATAAGATTTGACAATCCAAAAATATTTCTCTATGATGAACGCGAGGGTATTGAAATTAAAAAACCTCCGAATTTTAGTAGAGATGAAGGTTGGCATATACCTCCGCCTTGGGATCCAGTAATAGTCAAATAAAACAAAAGGATACAATTAGTTCATTCTGTAAATATTAAATAAAGGGAACTAATTCACTTTTCTTGTCTAAGTTTGTTTCGCCAGTTTTTCTCAGACAAAGACTCCCAAATTTGAAACTGTTGGTAGCCAATGGTAAATAAGTCAAATGTATTTTTAAAATAATTTAATTTAATGAATGTAAATGTTGTTATAGTTTTTTTTTTTCTATTGTGAATTGGTTTGAGGGTCTTATGTGAACGCGGAGTCTGTAAAGGGTCAGAAACGTAAATAAAACTAAATACAAATGCATTGACACCATTTAAAATTGTTTCATTTATTATCTTTACATACTTTAACTCATTAGTCCCCGAGCATGGTATATACATTGTTATCTAATTTTACATCAAGACGTTTAGGCAGCAATGAACGAACTGTTATTTATTAAATGGAATGTTTTTAATCATTACTGTTGAAATTTCTGTTCTTTCAGCATTCCAATTTACATACACTAGTCTATTTGGGGCTTATTCTGCATATCTATTTGTGAGGACAGGTGAGAAATTGTTATAAGTATGATATTTTATGTTTTCGAATCTTAAGAGTGACAGCTGTTTTTTTTTTAAACACAATAGTTACATCAGATTAGAAGTTGTAAAAATTCTGTAATGAGTTTGAACTTAACTGTTAACAAATAAAGGTTAAAAACCAATTGGAGAAAGTAATGTTGACATGCTGCTTACTGCATATTAAATATAAAATTTTCTTTTGTTTTAGGTCATTTAGTGGCGCCATTACTGGCTCACATGTTCTGTAACCACATGGGTTTCCCAAACTTTGGAGAAGTGACTCAGTACCCCCCAATGCATAGAGTATTAATTATTTGTAGTTTTCTATTGGGTTTTTCTTTATGGTGCATGCTTCTCTCACCATTGACTGATCCCGACATATATGATAACCGATTACATTGGGAGACATGAATTTTAATTGATTTGTTACCTCACTGGCAGTTTCACGATGATGGACACAAAATGTGGATAGTACAATTAAAATATATTAAATTTCATAGTCTATGGATGCCCATAGGCTTCTATCTTCCAATCTGGTTTTAGATTTAGACTTTGTGATTTCACCATTGTCCAGGATTTCCTAATAGGTAAGCAACATAAAAGAACCTTTGTATGAAAAAAGTGTCGAGCACAAATATTATATTATTGTATTGGAAATCTTAGTTTCCTGGCGCTGTGTAAATATCAATTTGACAAATTTACATTTGTGCTAGACACTAATTCGATCCTCACTCTATAAACGCTAGTATAACACACGAAAGCTCATTAGTTCTGAACAATAATTCAGAAGAGTTATAAAGTAGTACTCATAAATTTTATTAGTGAAGTAAAGTTTAAACCTTTCGGCTGTTTATTTAAATCAATTTTATGAATATGGAGCGATAAATTAATCCATGTTAAGCTAAGATTTACGTTTATTTTTGCTCGTTTAGTGAATTAATGACGTGATTACTTAGTCTGACTAGACCAGTGATTCCTGATTTTTTCTTGGCCATTAACCTTAAGGACATAAACTACGACATAAAGAGATAATTTCAGTAAAAAAATAATTAATTCCTTCTTCTTGTAAACTTCGGACCAATTTGTGTTATAAAGAATTTTTTTCACAATTTTCGAAGTGTTGGATTTTTTATGTGGAAAGGAACAATTCAATGTGAAAGAAGATGGGATTAGGCCTTCCGTATAGACGGTTGAGGAGGAAAAATTACTAATTACTAATAATTTAAATGTTTTACTTAAAGCTTTAATATATAAAAGGAATTAATGATCCTGCACCCCCCCTTCCCCATATTGTTTTCCGGCCCTCCAGGGGTCCGCGTACCACAGATTCGTAAACGCTGGTCTAGACTGTCACATTGTTGGTTTGTATCTAGAAGATCGAATAAATTGTTAAATTAATACTCCGAGTTCCTTCAGGGTATACAATAATTGTTTTATATTACACGAGTCTGGCGGTTGTGAACCGATGTTACTGAATTTTAAAAGTAGCAATTAAATATCCTAAAATATTTGGGTACATTTTGGTTTTGGTAGTCTTTCATTATTGATTTCAATGAAATCATTGTTTTTGAATTAAAAGTGTCTAATGAAACTAAAAAGCATATTCGCGTAAAAACTAATAATTAGTCGTTCGCTTCGAGTTGGTCACTGTACTAAATAAATGACGTCATACCGTACCGTCAACAAATAAATAATAATTGTATTTTTTCTCGGCTTAATATTCCATTACTAGTGGCCGCCAGCGACTTCATCCGCGATTTTCAATATTTCTTCGCTCCTAATAGTTGCAGCGCGATGTTATATAGCCTAAAGCCTTCCTCGATAAATGGTCTATTCAACACAAAAAGAATTTTTCAATTCGAACCAGTAGTTCCTGAGATTAGCGAGTTCAAACAAACAAACTTTAGCTTTATAATATTAGTATAGATATAAAGTCGAGAAGGAAGTTGATTTTTGAGATAATTAAACTTCACAATATTATTCATGAAATCAGAAACGATATTATTGACCGGCACAAACGAACGGGCGTTGCTAGCTTTTTGGACGTGCGGTGCGAAGCGGCCAACTCGAAGCGAACAGAAAAATAAAATAATTTTCGAGGTCTTAATAATTACTTTAACGATAGTTCAGTCGCCGAACAGAGAGAACTTCGTACGTTGACCTTTGGGCTACTGATGGATATCCTTCTTTTTAGTTTAATAGACAAAATTTTCTAGACGCATCTGTGTGATCGCAATAGCTTGCGTACAAGTGAAAGGCCGTGTTCAAACCAAACTGACTGTAAGCCGCCGAATGTGAGCAGGCTTACTATGAGCCCCAGTGTAAACGTGAAAATAAACGACATTTTTCGTTCACAGTATGCTGACAATACGCTTATAGCTTACAATACGTCAATGGTGTGAACAAACCAGTCGGCTTGTATACGTTCACACCGCATGCATACGCTGAGCGGCCGGCTATTTTTCACATAAAAGAGCTCAGTGATTCGAAATTTAAGCAGTATATCTCGGTACGTGTTTCTAGACTGCTGACTGGGGTGCTAATTAAATAATGTTCGTTAAGATATTGGCCATTCACGAAGCTCTTGAGGAAGATGAAGAAAGGAATAAGAGTTTCAGAGTAATCTTGGTCAGTTTCATAGTTTATATTTGGAATACAGATGTTACTCTGATAAATTCAAAAAACACTATCGCATGTCTGTAAATTCTTTTGACGAATTATTGTCATTAATACGTACCAAAGTCTCTGTGTACTGTTCTGTGCAATTCTTGACTGGAGTCCGCCGGCCGAGCTGGATCCAATACGCTGACGTTTAACTACGTAGCCAATCAGCGTCCGCGGAGCGTAGTGACGTGCTATATTAATCAGCCGCCGAATGACAGCGTCTACGCATAGCGTTATTACGTATTGTCGGTTATATGTGAACGGAAAACTGAATATGTATGGAAATACAATAAACTGCGTAACGTTCGCTCACTTTCGGCGGCTTACAGTCAGTTTGGTTTGAATACGGCCAAAGAGATACCGCTCATTGTACGAAATTTCTCTGTTCGGCTAACGGACTACATCTATGTAGTGAAAATATACGTAAGATGTGAAACAAACAAAGAGTTACGTAAATAATTATTTTAACAGGGTTATGCATGGGTATTGGTACAAGATTATACCTCACTAGTCAATCAATGTATTAAATTATTTAGTTTTTAATCGTTAATTATTAACAATGTGTCAGTTTAATATATGTTTTAGAATGTAGTTTTGAAACTAAAAATACGTAAGTGAACATGGTACAGGAGAATGTAATTTAAAAGTTTAAATATAAGTACATTCTTTTTTGTAGAAAATCTCCTCAATTAATTGTTAAATAATTCCGTATCAAAGTACAAGATTTGTGTTAGTTAAATATTTGTGTTATTCCATGAAACAATACGAGAAAAACTTTCTTTTTAAAACAAATAAAAAAAGGAAAAATTGCTTAAACAGTGAATTCATTTTAGTTTTCTGTATAATTTTAATTTATTGTTACATAGTAAAATTTTGCCGTTGATATATCGTTGACCTTATATTTTGTTGTTAAATTATTAAATTATCATAATATAATTATGTATTTACAAATATGACCTTTAAGTCTTTAATGATATATGACACTACTATAGTAATGTAGGGATCTCAGAATGTGGAACTTAATTCTTACATAATCTAAGATTTTTATCATTAAATATACGTTCATTATATAATAGGTGTTCGTGACTCTAAACAAGGAAATTGTGCTCATAAAATGAAAAAGTTAATAAATATTTTTTCAAAGTAGGTACTAAAACTTGTTTTTTTTTAAACAACCCGAATTAATCCTGTAATTCTTACTGATGAGATTTCGAAAATATGTAATAATTATAATAAAGATATATAATGTTGATGTAATATTTCTTGTATGATACTATTTTTACAATAAAAACGAGGCCCCATTAGTGCGGTGCGTCACAACGGAACAACGCAATGTATGCCACACCTGAGTTGCTTGATGCCACGACAAGCAGCAATGAAGCTCCGGCAACGCAACGCACGCTTCGTATCTTGTCCGTCGCGCAAAACATATCGCGCGACAACGCAAGGGCCTTATGAAGCATGTCATAAAAATATATGGAAAATGACGCAGCCTCGCCCTTGTTGTTGTACGGTCGGCCAAGAAAGTGGTCTACCAGTTTTGACAACATTTCCTGTGTCTTTAAAGCATCGCTAAAGGCGAATCTTAGAATTGCATACAAACAATAAAAGAGATGCACAATGCTGACGTGTTGTCGTAGAGCACAAATGTTATTTTGACCTTTGCAGCCTATGCATTAGATAATAATTTGCAACAACAAATAGTCTTCACAATATTTCATAAATTTAAAATGTAAGTAGGTCACTTCAAAGTGGAAACTATTTTGTTACGAAAACTCTTTTACTGAAAAAGAATATATCACTTGACAATTCATGTCAAATATTTTCTCGGCATTTTCCGTAGGTATTTTCCTAATTAGTTTACACTACAATGCCCCGAAATTTATCCATTAACGAAAGAGCACAAATAATCGCATTACACAATGATGGTTTTAATATTAGTGAGATTTCTAGAGAATTAAATGTGTCGGTAAGTATTATTATGTCTGACGTGAATTTAATGTAAAATCTCAGACCAAGTCCGAGTGTAAATTTTTATTTTTATTTTTTCTGTTCATATTTTATTTTTGATTATAGAGACAAGCTGTCCGTCTTTGGATAAGACGAGAAAGCGAGGAGGGGAATTTGAACGCTCGGAGTCGTAGCGGTCGTAGACCTGAAATATCAGATACTCAGCGAGTCTTCATGAGACGGAGTTATGAGGAATCTGGCTTTATACCAACGCGTTATTTTGCCGACATATTTGACGTGACTCTCCAAGCCATTAGAAACCATTTACATTACATGGGCTTACATCACAGGCGTTATGCAAAGAAAATTTATATGACTGACGCTCATAGAATGGCCAGATTAAATTTCGCCATAGAATATTTAGATTTTGATTGGAGTAACACTGTTTTCTGTGACGAGAAAACTTTTAAATCCAGTCAACACGGGCGTCTACACCTTTGGCGATTCAATAAAACGCGATACACGCAAAATCATATCGTGCCAAATAGAGAATCGGGTCGTATCTCGGTAAATTTGTATGGATGGATGACTGCTGATGGTGTTGGAGACTTGACCTTTTTGCCACCACGAGCAACGGCATCAGATTATGTTGATATTCTCCAAAATGCTATGTTGCCATCCGTCCAGAACGTTTATCCAGAAAATGAAATGCGTCAATTTAATTATTTACAGGATAACTGTCCCTTACATAAAGCAAGGGTAACACGTGCTTGGTTTGATGCACATCCGGAAATAAA